TAGAGCGGATTTCTAAGTCTCTTTTTCTTGGTTCTTTCTGAAAGATAGGCACTGGGACAGAAGGACATTTATTTAAGTCAAATAACTTTTAAAGATCCTTATGCATTTCAGATTTTTAAAAGTTTTATTCATATTCAGTTAATTAACATATTGTGTATTATTGGTTTCAGAGGTGGAGGTCACTGATGCATCAGTCTTTTTTTTTTAATTTTTTTTTAAATTTTTATTTATTTATGATAGTCACACAGTGAGAGAGAGAGAGGCAGAGACACAGGCAGAGGGAGAAGCAGACTCCATGCACCGGGAGCCTGACGTGGGATTCGATTCCGGGTCTCCAGGATCGCGCCCTGGGCCAAAGGCAAGCGCCAAACCGCTGCGCCACCCAGGGATCCCCTGATGCATCAGTCTTATCTAATACTCAGTGCTCATTACATCACGTGCCCTCCTTAATGTCCAGATTTTTTTTTTTTAAAAAATGCAATGTATTTAAAAAATAAGATTCCTTTTTTTTTTTTTTCTATTTCCTCAATACAATTACTCTTTTTTTCCCCTGTATGCAAACTCTGACCGTGGTGGATCAAGGACTTAGAGAAGCAAGGTCAGTGAGTGTCAAGAGCAATAACTTCCTTATTAGGTGTTTTTTCCTTTCTTTCCTTTTCCTTTCCTTTCTTTTCCCCCTCCCCCTCATCTTCCCCCCTCCTATTAGACAGATATTATCTGTGAGTGTTTTCTTTTTTTTCCCTAGACCTTTGAGGCATATAGAGGAGATCATTAATGGTAACTCAGAAATGAGGAAGCTTGCTCTTAGAACTAGAAACATTCCTGTGTGACCAGATCAGTTTCCCACTGATCCTGCAATACCAGGTGAATGCTCACTTGGTGATGTTCAGTACAGATATAAAGATTTATTGAGATTTGGCAATCAAATCAAAGAAAGCAATTTAAGGCAACAAAGAACTAAGATACATGGTGACTTTTGACTAAATGTATCATAATTGAGTTAGATGCTTACAGGAGATCATGTTCTGTCTTAAAGGGAAAACATTAAACGCCACCACAATGAATTAGATATACAAATACAGAGGAAATATAGAGACTATTTTCTGTTTTAAATAATCATATTAATTGAAGCAATATTTTAAAATAATTTTACTGGTGTAGTCCCATATTAAAATAGTAGCTATAATAGCTTCTAAAATTTATTGAATTATTTCACAGCATTTGTAAAATGAAATATTTTTATATATTCATAACATGTGGCAGGGGTCAGTTTATTTCAAGAACTGCATGATTGCATTTTTCAGCATTCATAATACCTGTGATACATTTTATAAAACATAATTTTCCTAATGGAGCATCTGACTAAAGCTGACTGGATATTTTTTTTAACAGATTTATGAAGAAGCTTTTCTTTCCTCCTCTCTAAACTAACATTATTTGAACTTAAATTCCTGTCTTTTGTGTCATTAGGGCAAGCCACAATTTCCTCGTTCTACTTCAGAACATTTTAGAGACATCTACTGGAAAAGCACATTATTGCAAATTTCATAAAATTGGTTTAAAAAGTATATTGTTGCTGATATTCCAAAAAAAAGTCTTGTATCCCACATCACAAAATTAGGTCCCTTTCTGAATTCCCTTTCTGAAATTCTTTGATCCCTAAAAAGGTGTAACAAATGTAAAATACATCAAAACTATTACTTTGCTAATAGACTTAATACTTCTTCCCTTTTTTCTCAACAATATTCTATTCACTTAGACTTTTACAAATATGTTTCCTCTTGATAGTATGACTAATATTCTTAATAAGCGAATCTAGAACATTTTGCCAGAATTTTTATTATCTAAATTGTAGCAAAATGAGCATGTATGGGAGTTCAGTAATATTAGAAACAGCATATTGTGGAGTAAGAAAACAGGAGGAATTGCCTTATGGATTGCTAATCACAAACATCCCTTTCTAACAGTTGGAGATGGAGTTATAGAGGCGTGGAGGGAGAAAGAAAAAGAAAAATGTAGAGAAGTGGAGGAGAAATAAAAGAGAATATAATTGCTAGCTCTTCCATTTTATTCCTTCTATGGATCTTCCTTGTATATTTAAAAAGATCTCCCTTCTGCACTCTCAATGAAAAAGAGATTGTTACTTTTCTTTTATGACATTTATTTTATTTGTGGGGATGAACATTTTGGGGAAGTAGGGATTTGTAAAATTTATATAGTATTTTACAAATTTTCTATGGGTAAAATAATCTCCTGATGTGAAGGACTAGCACTGAAGAAATTATCACAGTAGCTACATGACCAGTTATTCCAAACCTGTGAGGGCTCTGAAGAAGTTTAAAGAATGGATGAGCCACAGTAATTATTCTTGTCATATTTGGGGCTGCTTGTCATATGAGACAATGCTGGAGAGTGTTGTCAAAGGAAACCTGACAATTTTCACTTCCATATAAGAACAAAATTATTGGCACATATATAAAGTGTGATACGGTGAGTGGGTGGGGGGTGGACGATTTGGGATGTAGTAGGGGAGGAATCCGAAGGGGGAAAATGTGGAAAGGAAGGAAGGAGGAGAGGAAGGAAGGAAGGAAGAAAAAGAAGCCCAGGATAGATGAAATAATCACGATTGATTCAAGGGACAAAGGGACACAGTAGTTCTTGATATTACCAGTGCATCAACCACACTAATAAAAAATTCAATAGCTTTTATGTACTGTGATAAAAGTGAAGAGCGGGATGGTCAGAATATAGGGAGCAACAGTAGGTTTTATTGGAATCACTGTTATAACGAATTGATTGTATGACATGACACAATGGGCATAGCTGCCATCAGGAAGTTATTCCTACCATAGATTTCAATAGAAAGATGACCTTTCCACAACAGCTTAATCAGCGGATGCCTGAATCATGAGTAATTCTAATTACACTAATGTAACAGAAAGTCATTGTCAGATCTGTTCTGGAACATTTTTGTTAATGGATATAAAAGATAATGATTTGTAAATCTGGTATTAAAAATATCCATAGGTTACTTCCAATTAGAACATGAGATGTCATTAAATAATCAGAGCTAAACTATTTGAATTAATTTAAATATCCCATGTGATACTTTGAAAAAAAAAGAGGATGACAATATATAGTAGATATTCAAAACTCTCAACTAGCCTTGTTTCTTGTATGTACATTTATAATGATGGATTTCTATGATTTTTCCTCACAGATGTATACTGTCCACCTTAGTGGACTGTAGATTAGTAGATATAAAAGGACAAAGTATAACATAATGGCAGTTCTTATTAGCCGCAGCTCACGGCATTCTTTGACATAAAAATTTTGTTTTCTGCCATACGTGAACATTCAGTTCCTTAGGTGCAATAGGGTGTGTAATGACATTCTAAATTTCTAGTAAAGTATGCTGTGAACAAACACTTGAATCTTTAAGAAATAATAATGGAATTAATATTCCTAAAATGAGGGCACCAGGGTGTCTCAGTGGTTGAGCGTCTGCCTTTGGCTTCAGGTTGTGATCCCGGGGTCCTAGGATTGAGTCCCACATCGGTCTCCCCACGGCGAGCCTGTTTCTCCCTCTGCCCATGTCTGCCTCTCTCTCTGTATCTCTCATAAATAAATAAATAAAATCTTTAAAAACATATATTCCTAAGATGTCCTTCTTTGTAGAAGAAGGAAAATAAAAAAAAAAACTAGTCTTAGATTTTAGAAATACAATTCTAAATACTGTTCAGAACTTTTAAACATCTGCTATATATAGATCATACAAAAATATGTTTTACCACTGTGAATCTATTTGTGCACCTAACAAAATTCAGGAATCATTTGAAAGTGAGATCATATTTGGACTTTTTTAGAATATGCTAAATTACCTTGTTTCTAAATACTTTTGGTATAGATGATATTTTATTTAAAAGTTTACTTTACCTGATTATGAATGAAGTACATATTCATACTAGACCCTGAAAATGTATTATATTTGTAGAACATTTCTGAAATTCAGGCCAGACCCAGAACAAATAACATTACAGTTGAATTTGCCTACAGATTCTCCTGAATGGGCTAGAAAAACCATTTATGACATCCCTAACGAAACCGCAAGTTTCCTAGAGATTTTGTATTACAACTTTCTTTTTTCAAATGTGAATCATAATGGTTTCTCCACACTTACATTAATTTTTAATCACAGTCTCTCATACTGCTGATTGAATTCCTCACCACTGCTAATGGTCTTCCTTGTAATATTCATTCATTTAAAATATGTATGCTGATGCCATATCTTATTTTTCAAAGGAAACCTGTTTAAAGCCAAAAGCAAAATAATAGCCACATGGATGTTAGCCCACAGCAGGTTACCATGTGTTTGATTAGCCTTGCCACCAGAAAATCCTTAAAATCACAGTTGATAAAATGGCTCTATTAGGATTTAAGAAGAAAAGCACAATTATTCATGCCACATTTGTATATTCTTTTTTAATTCAATATATTTTTTATTGAAGTTCTATTTGCCAACATATAGTATAACACCCAGTGCTCATCCCATCAAGTGCCCTTCTTTAAAACTGAATTTGTTCACATACATAATATTATTTCAAATAATTGAACTGGAACAAAACTAGAAGGTAGTTTTTTTTTTCATATAGGGTCATTACTAGTGATTATTTAAAATACAAAATTAGGATTTCTGATATTTTAATGAGACATGCCTCCACAACATATAGTTAAGAAAAAGTGAGATCTCCACTTACTCATCCTCTAAAACTAACATAACTATAAGAATATATAAGATATCTCATTATGAGATTTAGGATATTAGAGTAGCTACAAAGTTAGGAAGCTCTCAAGAGGTAACAGTTTTAATGATTTGGCCACCTGTTCATTAACTGTGGTTCAAAAGGGAAAATACAACTCTTCTTCACTAGAATTAGTTGCTTATTCTTCATAAGTTTTATGCTTCTAGGTGTTATTATAAAATTACTATTAGAATATACCTTTTAGCTGACATTTTGCTCCACTGAATCCAGGACAGCACTTCCATTCCAATGAGGTAACAATTTTATGTTGCATCCTGTAGACAGGATTAGATATCTTCTGAGATCTGGAGAGGAGAGCAATTATTGTCTCACATTAAATTATCAGTTGGGGTAATTAAAGTTTTGGAGACAATGCCTAAAATACAAGAAGCATTCAGTAAATGTTATCTGTGATTATTATTATAATCTTCATCAACATTATTATTATTATTATTATTATTATTAGAGAGAGACAGTGGGTCGGGAGGGGAAGAAGTAGGGGGAGAAGGAGAGAGAAAATCATAAGCAGGCTCCACACAGCACAGAATTGATGTGGGGCTCAATCTTATAACCCTGAAAATCATGACCTGAGCTGAAATCAAGTCAGACGCTTAACCAACTGAGCAACCAGGTGTCCCTCATCAGTATTATTGTTAAACTTACATTTCTTTAAATAAATTACAAAAAGCATGAAGAGTTATGCTATTTGGTATTTTAAATTTATACCTATCCTTACATTCTCCAAACATAGTATAGCTTTTCCCTTGATAATACTTTTTATTAAACCAATATTAAAACTTATTTAATCTTATTTTTAAAATAGCTTATGAGGATAATTTATTTTATTTCAATTCTTATTATTCCTTGTATCTTTATAATTAAAAAGATTTGTTTTCCCCCAGATCAACATCAAACAGATCAACATCAAACATTAAAAACTGTATAGCAAAAAAGATAAATAAAAAAATAAAAACTGTATATCAGTGATCTCATTGAAATTATGATAACCACTATGATTTTTAACCTGCACTTTTTCCTTTCTCAAGTTTTAACATTTTTATTTTTAATACTATTTCTGTCATATGCTATTTGTCTCTGATAGAAAGAAATGGGGAAGAGGAGAGAGAGAGAGAGAGGAAGAAAGAAAGGGATCCAACATGAGAAAATATTTCTGAGAAGAAACCATGGAAGCAGGGGGTCCCTGGGTGGCTCAGTGATTTAGCACTTGCCTTCGGCCCAGGCATGATCCTGGAGTCCCCAGATCGAGTCCTGCGTTGGGCTCTCTGCATGGAGCCTGTTGCTCTGCCTATGTCTCTGCTTCTCTCTCTCTCTCTCTCTCTCTCTCTCTCTGTGTGTGTGTATCTCTCATGAATAAATAAATTTAAAAAATAAAAAAAAAGGAAGGGAAATGAAGAAATGGTAACATTTTAACATGGCGATCAATAAAATGGTGAATAGTACTAAATTGTAGGCCCTGTATATGTAAATATAAATCACAAATACAATTTGGCCATATTATCCTTACCCCTGTGACTTCAATATTTAGCTAATATTTATCAAGTGGGCCTATGAAATGACTATATAATATCTTGTTTAATTTTCTTATTAATTCTATGTGGAAAATATATTATTCTCCTGGTATGCTGATGAAGAACTTGAGGAACAGAGAGATGAAATAACTTGCTAAAGTCTCGAATCTAAAAGTGATCAAGGCGGGAATTTAATGCATACTGCTTGGGTTAGTCTCTGTTTTATTATCTAGAGCGTGTCCCATACAACTATATGGAGACAACAATAGTCAGTTTCATGGATAAACGCTGATCATGTGAAGGGAATGTGCTGGAATTCACTGGGCTTTAGGAAACTTGGGTTTTAGTTTCTGCTGTGACTTGAAGGGTAATTCAATATGGGTAAGGTTATTTCTTAATTGTAAAATGAGCTATAAATTTCATTTCTAAAAATAGGCTAGATAAATTAGCATTTATCTGTGTTTATTTCAGGAAATTATATTCAGTAAATAACTCTTGTCAGTGAAATATCTCCAGTCCAGTAGCCAAAGCTGAATAGAAAGTAAGGCTGTTTGGAAAAGGACTCTTTAGAGGTTATTAGGATGAACTCAAGCAGTTAGCTGCATTATTATTAGAGTCCCTGCTTTAGCAAACTGGATCCCTGATAAATGTGGCTCAGACATAATAAAAGAAAAAGTTACCAACACTGTGTTTAGATTGAAATAATGAATGAATGGAGAGACCCATTCAAAGATAGAGAAAGATAAGAGATGAGAATAAAGATACGTATTTCTGGTTCATTTAAAGGGAGAGAGAGAGAAAAAAAAAAACTCACCTTGAACTCAGAAGGGCAGTATAATGGGGTTACTGTGGTAATATTTTCATTACTGAGGAATTAACAATGCATTCTTTGTATCTCCTGTCGATGAGGAAATTGCCACAAAGGGAGTAAATGCTGAAAGCGGAACTGGAGCTCAGCTCTCCCAAATCCCTAAGGTGTGCTTAGCTCTCTGGACCATGAACCTTAGCTATTCCTCCAGGGAGTAAGAAACACCTTGATTTTACATATCCTTACTGTGCATTGTTCCTGATTGCCACTGTGTCAGATTCATTGCCTGAATTATTTGTATGACAATTTGCATAACATGAGCCATCATGGCCTGAATAATAATTTTAGTTTTTATTTCAGGGTCTTCTGAAACACCCTCAGATAAGCTAATGTGACTGTGTGAATGCAGAGAATTTATCAGTTACTCAGCCCCACATCTGAGGACAATTTTTAAATGTCCTAAATAGGTTTTTTTTAAAAAATGAAAATTAAATAACATGAATAAATGGAAATTAAATAACATGAATCACTAAGATAGGCATATAAAGAAAGGCCTCAGTTAGCTGTTTTATCATGCACCATTGCAATTAGTGGCTTGCCAAGTTATGGACTTCTCTCTTACCTAGTATGAAGCTGAAATTATCAATAAAATCTTAAAACCGTGTATGAATTTTATAAGAATTCAAGGACAGGATTATTGATCAGGTATAGAATAAAAGTAATAGTAAAAATGGAAATAAGCATGAAAGTTAACATTTATTGAAGACTCGCAAATTACCTGTCCCTTTACTAAGCATATTACTGCATTATCTCACATATTCAAAAACTCCTGTATGAGGCATGTATTATTGGTATCTGCATTTTAACTTACCCCAAATCATGCATATAATTTACTGTGATGACCCTACCCTGACCCTATTATATGTATATACCTGAGATGATTAACTTTCTCTATATATTCAGAGACATACACGAATACGATATAAGCAGTGGCTGTTTAAAAAAAAATGTCACATACCTCTGAGGACAGGATCCACTGGTCCAGCCACAGGGTCCTCTTCCATTTGGAATATAAGTGACTTGGTTGTCTAGGATCACTGTAGGAGATAATCTGGTATGTACATAAGCACACCAATTCCTAAGGAAGAAACAATTTTTGTTAAAAGAAATCATTGTCAAAAAGAATTCTTTCCATTAAAATTATTTTCATAGGCCTGCATCTACTGCTATCAGTGTTATGGATTAGATAATTTGAAAAATTGGTATCTAGCTTTAAAATATCTGGAGACAAGAGAAAACATACTTGTTAATGAATTGCTATAAACATGAAAAGTAAAGACACACTACAAGATGAAAGGAAGTTAATAAAAAAGAGTTAAACCAGAACTTGTATTGTTCCACTGTAAGGTTAAGTCAAAATCCAAGATTGCTCTTATGGCAAATACCAGTATTAGTACTTAAATTAGAGACCCAGACCTAGGTCCATTACTTCTATTGAACAGTGTGCAGTAAGACAAAGGAAAATAAATAAATGCTGTGAGAATAAAAAAAGACAAAAAATGTTACTAGCAGCAGATGATATGACTTTGAATAAAAAACTATGACATAGTCTAGATGCAAATGATTATGAGTTTAGCAATGTAGTTAAGATCAAGTTACATTTTTATAATTAATAAAAATGTATAGCCACGTAGTTAACATTAGTTACAGTTCAATGTACCAACAATAAATTTTAAAAAGGTACTTTTTGAACTTGGCCACAGCAACTTCTTGCAAGATACATCCATGAAGGCAAGATACATCCATGAAGGCAAAGCAAAAATGAATTATTGAGACTTAAAGCTTCTGCACAGCAAAAGAAACAGTCAACAATACTAAAAGACAACCGACAGAATAGGAGAAGATATTTGCAAATGACAGATCAGATAAAGGGCTAGTATCCAAGATTGATAAAGAATTTATTAAACTCAACAGCAAAGAAACAATCTAATCATGAAATGGGCAAAAGACATGAACAGAAATTTCAGAGGAAGACATAGACATGGCCAACAAGCACATGAGAAAATGCTCCACATCATGGACATCAGGGAAATACAAATCAAAACCACAATGAGATACCACCTCACACCAGTGACAAAGGGGAAAATTAACAAGACAGGAAGCAACAAAAGTTGGAGAGGATGTGAAGAAAGGGGAAGCCTCTTGCACTGTTGGTGGGAATGTGAACTGGTGCAGCCACTCTGGAAAACTGTGTGGAGGTTCCTCAAAGAGTTAAAAATAGATCTGCCCTACAACCCAACAATTGCACTGCTGGGATTTACCCCAAAGATACAGATGCAGTGAAATGCCAGAACACTTGCACCCCAATGTTTATAGCAGCAATGTCCCCAATAGCCAAACTGTGGAAGGAGCCTCGGTGTCCATCAGAAGATGACTGGATAAAGAAAATATGGTCTATGTATACAATGGAATATTACTCAGCCATTAGAAAAGACAAAAACCCACCATTTGCTTCGACGAGGATGGAACTGGAGGGGATTATGCTGAGTGAAGTAAGTCAATCGGAAAAGGACAAACATTATATGGTCTCATTCATTTGGGAAATATAAAAATTAGTGAAAGGGAATAAAGGGAAAGGACAGAAAATGAGTGAAAATATGAGTGAGGGTGACAAAACATGAGAGACACCTAACTCTGGGAAACGAACTAGAGGTAGTGGAAAGGGAGGTGGGCGGGGGGTTGGGTTGACTAGGTGATGGGCACTGAGGGGGGCACTTGGCGGGATGAGCACCGGGTGTTATGCTATATGTTGGCAAATTGAACTCCAATTAAGAAAAAGGTACTGTTTACAATAGCAAAAATAACATTATTCTTGTTAAATCCAATGAAGAAGTATAAGATATATATAACTTTTAAGCTTTATTGAAAAGCCTGAAAGATATTACTGCATTATCTCACATATTCAAAAACTCCTGTATGAGGAGTTTTTGCCTCTATGTATGAGGAGACTCTCCTCCTGTATGAGGAGACTCTGCCTCTTAGAGCCGGCACTTGCTCCTCACCCCACCCTGGCCTGCCCATCCTGTGCTCGCCCCTCGAGGTTTCCCTATAAACTTCCCCCAGTGGCAAAAAAAAAAAAAAATCCTGTTAATGGATGGTAACAGCCAAGGTATATGTATCAATCCTCCTCAAATTAATCTACAGATTTAGTTCATTTTCAAGTCAAACCTTGATCTGAGGGAAGCCCGGGTGGCTCAGAGGTTTAGCGCCTGCCTTAGGCGCAGGGCGTGATCTGGAGTCCTGGGATGGAGTCCCACGTCAGGCTCTCTGCATGGAGCCTGCTTCTCCCTCTGCCTGTGTCTCTGCCTCTCTCTCTCTCTCTCTGTGTCTCTCATGAGTAAATAAATAAAATATCAAAAAAACCCTTAATTTGATATAAGTTTAATAAGCTTATTCGATTTTTTGTGTAATAAACTAAAAAACATGAATTTCAGAAATTTCTGGCTCTGGCCATAACAGAGCATGGGAAAGATTTACTTTCCCTTGGTAAAATCTATAAAGCTGGGCAAGATATATAAAGCAATAATTTCAGATGTTAAACAACAGACAATGCAGAGAAATGATTTTTTGAGAGAAGGGACCAACATAATGTGAATTCTATATTAAATCTAGTTTTCTGCCTGCAAACAATTTTCAAACTACATCACAAATGGGTGGGCCCCAAAGAGAGAGAGTACAGGGTAAAGGAAATAGAGATCTGAGTTTGGGGCTTACAGAGGTGGTTAAAATATGTGGATAAAGGTCATAAAATGAGCGAGAGTAACAGAGATGCCATCTTAAAAGTCAACACAGGATTTTTAAAAAATCTTGGGTTGAATACTATGCAGTGCTTGCAAAACGTAGTCTTTGCAAGGCCACCAGAGAACAAGTATTATGAAGCTGCATGAGCTGAACAGAGATACCAGATTTTACCCCATTGTGGAGAATTCTGATCACCAAAGAGAGAGTTCTTATTAAACATTTGAGTATTCACCTGAAGCTAACAATGTCTGCATCCAGTAGGGTCAGGCTAATCTAGACTCACCCCAACAAAACTTTAAAAAAAAAACCCTTGATATAAATAACTTCATGCCAGAAAAGAAGTCAATGCTCTTTAATGGAAGACAAGAAAATCTGTTCATAACATAGCAACCCAGCATAAAAAACAAACCATGATAAAAACTGGACATGTGAAGAAGCTGGAATATAGGACCAAACATGAGTTGAAATCCAATACACAGGGACAAAACTAAGCAGAGATGACACAGATGTTGAATTAGTAACCAATGACTAAAATAGTTATTGTAAACCTTTTCAAAATTATCAAGGGAAAAAATGAGTATAGTGCATAAACTCATGGCAAATCTAAAAAAAAAAAGAACCATTAAATAGAACAAAAACATGCAGGATATGAATAAAAATGGACTGGATTGGGCTTAATAGAAGTTTATTAATTTTTTTAAGATTTTTAATGTATTGATTCATGAGAGACATACAGAGAAAGGCAGAGACATAGGCAGAGGGAGAAGCAGACTCCATGCAGGGAGCCTGATGTGGGACTCGACCCAGGGACTCCCAGATCACGCCCTGAGCCAAAGGCAAATGCTCAACCGCTGAGCCACCAGGTTGTCCCATTAACAGAAGTTTGAACTCTGGACATTAAGATCAATAAACTTGGAAGCAAGGCAAAAGAAACCACCTAAACTGAAGTTTGGAGGAAAAATTATTAAAGTAAAAATGAAAAGAAACTCAAGTGGTCTAAAATATATTAGTTAAAGTTCTAGAAGAGAAGCAGAAAGATCAAGTTTGAGTAAATAGTTGAAGAAATAAAGGCTAAAATTTTTCTAAATTTGGTAGAATATCAGTCTTCAGATCTAAGAAGCTCAATGAATCCCGGAGAATGACCACAAAGTAAAACTTACCTTAAGCATGTTATAAATTCCAGACAAAAAACATAAAGAGAAAAAAAAGCAGACAAAGCAAATTATGAAGAGAATGGACTACCTCAACTTGATAAAGGACATCCATGAAAAACCTACAATTAACATCATACTAAGTACTGAAAGAATGAAAACTTTCCTTTGAGATCAGGAACAAAACAATAATGTTTGCTCTTGTAAACTCTATTTAACATTTTACTATAGGTTCTAGTCAGGCAATTATGTATTTTCATTTCTTCTATTTAGAAAATTATTTAAAACCCACAAAAACGCTACTAAAACTTATAAGCAAGTACAGCAAGATTACAATATACTAAAAGCAGGATGCCTGGGTGTCTTAGTTCTAAGTGTCTGCCTTGAGCTCAGGTCATGATGTCAGGGTCCTGGGATTAATCCTTCTTCCTCTGCCTCTGTTCTCTCTCTCAAATAAATAAAATCTTTTTAAGAACCCCAATATACAAAAAGCAATTGTATTTCTACACATAAGCAATGAACTACTCAAAGATGAAATTAAGAGAACAATTCCATTTAAAATAGCATCAAAAAGAAGCATATGCTCAGGAATAGATTTGACAAAAGAAGTACAAAAATTACAAAATATCATCGAAAAAAATACAACCTAAATAAATGGAAAGCATTCACTGAATAGAAGACTTAATATTATTAGAATGGTAATAGTTTCTAAATTTATCTACAGCTTCAACACAGCTTTGATTCCATTCAAAATCCCTCCTGCTATTTTTTGCAGAAACTTAAAGCTGTTCTTAAAATTCATGTGGAAATGCAAGAAACTCAGAATAGCCAAAACACCATTGAAAAATAGAGGGCTCATTACTCACACTGTCCAATGTCAAAGCTTATTACAAACTATAATAATTGAAAATGTATTTGACCAGCGTAAGAATAGTGCTATCGATCAATGGAATAGAATTCAGAGTCCAGAAATAAACCTTTATTTTATTACATTTATGGTCAACTAATTTTTGACAAGGGTGCCAAGCAATTCAACAGGGAAAGAATATTCTTTTCAACAAATGATGGTAAGACAAATGGGTAACCACAGGCAAGCAGGGAAAGTTAGACTCCTATCTCATACCAGATCTAAAAAGTCAACTCAGATATTGATCAAAGAGTTAAAGTTAAGAGCTAAAACTTAAAA